GTCTCAAGTCTCAGCTTCACGACTGGTGACCTGGGTGACCTCCAGGGCTTCCCTTTCTGGACCTTAATTTTCCCTGGAGTCATGAACCTTTCAGATTTCAGTGGGTTGGGACTCTGTGCTCGACTTCAGCCCATTGCACTAGTAGACACCAGGCCTATCCTCTAACTACAAAAGCAAACCCAGGGAAAGTGACTCCTGTTCCCAATCCCCTAGTGCTCCTAGGGGATTGGGCGCAGGAGGTAAGGGGTGTGGCCTGGGATTCTCCCAAGATGTCACTTTCTTAACTGTTTGTGAGATTGTGGGCCAAAGAGGTAAGGGACAGAGAGGTACCAGGCTCCTGCCTCTTCTGTACAACTGTGGGAGGCTCTGCATGTGGGTGCTGAAATGCTCTATATCCCTTCTCATGGTGGACAGAGATTCCCGAGTCAGGGAACCTGGGAGGGACAACACAGGGGTGGGGGGTGAGGCCCGAGGTGGGAGAACCAGCCGAGGAGGTGAGGGAAGGGCCAGCTACATTTCTGAGAAACAACCCAGCAGCTTAACCCAGGGCCTGCGGCTTCACAGCTCTCCCCTCCTGCCGCCCACGCCGCCCTGCGCCTCTTGGGGGTCTCGCATCCCCGACGGGACGGCGGCCGCTGCGGACATGCAACAGATCTGGGGACAGCGGAACGGAGCCTAGGGGCGGTGGAGAGCGCAGGAAGGCGTGGGTTGCGTGACACCCCAGGGGTCCCAAGCGCTAGACCCCGCCTGCCCGCAGGTACCGCCCTTGCCGCCCCCACCCAGGTCCTCCTCTCCCAGCCCCAGCGGAGCGGGATCCAGAAGTGAAACCACGGGGGTCACAGCCCGGCGCCGCGCTGCGCCCCGCCCTTCCGGGCACTGCCGCGAGGTAGGAGCACCCCGCGCCCCCGAGTGCAGCTAGGAAACGGGGGAGGGGCAGGGGAAGTGCTCGAGAGCCAACCGGGGAACCTCGGGAGGCGTCGGCCACAGTTCCCGGAATGGCCGCTGGATGGCACTGCAGCAGCGCGGCTGGACCCGCTCGGGGACTCGAAGGGACCCGCAGAGCCTCAGCACCAGGTCGCTGCCGGCACCAGCTGGCATGGAGCTGCACGGGGACGGATTCGAAACTGTGACGTCACGCCAGACCCTAAGGAGAGTCCCGGGACCGACAGCGTGTATTTGGATCATCGCCCTGCAACGTTCAAAGAGCGTCGGCATTATTGTCGTTGTGCAGGCTGAGTTGGCGGCAGGAGTGTAGCTGTGGGCACCGGATCAACTCGCACACACCTGTGTGGGTGGGACCCTGCGTGCATGCGCTCTCCAACCCCAACCTGGTCTCACCAGTCTGGGGCCTCTTCTTACTCACTAAACCCACTCCAGGTTCCTTCGCCTCCCCTCACCCCAGAAAAAATCCCCACCGAGTTCATCCCTTAGATGTGTGGGCTTGGGTGACTCCACAGCTTGGGAGGAGAGAAGCCAAAACTGTGGAACCTGTATACGGTCTAATGGCAGTAAGAGAGCCAGGTAAGCCAGAGTTGGCGAAAGCTGAATGAGCTGGAATGAGCTGGAATGCTATGGAAAAGATGGGCAGGTACCCAGAAGGAATGTGGGAGGGGGCAAGTTCCTCTGCTGGAGGATGTGGCTCAGGCCTTAGAAACCGACAGGTATAATAAGCCTTCCATCATCACGTGTGCATGCGCGTGGTGTGTGCAACACACCCCACTCCCACACAGCTTTCCCTCGACCCATTTCCACCACTGACACCCTAATGGGTTACACATACGGTGGCCCTAAAGGAGGCTCCAAAGGGAAGCAAGAAGACTGCAAGCTTAGAAGCCAGTCTGGACTAGTAAGATGGATGTTCCCCCACCCCTCATAGATACATCTCTTTCATAATGTCACATATACATCACGCATATGAGAGGTTGGCTTAATTACATTCATCTATTATAATTTGTTATAAGTTTATCTGTTTCTTAGTGTGCATGTGTGTGGGCTTTGCACTCATGCCATGGGGTGTGTGTGTGTGTGTGTGTGTGTGTGCGCGCGCGCGCGCGTGTGTGTGTGTGCGCGCGAGTGTGTGTGTGTGTGTGTGTGTGTGTGTGTGCGCGCGCGTGCGCGCGTGAAGGTCAGACGACAATTTGCCACAGTTGGTTCTCTCCTTCCACCACAAGGGTGCTGGTGATTGGCTGGGATGTCAGGCTCGGCAACAAGTGCCTTTACCCAATGGGCCTCTTTGAAAGCCCTCAGAACATTTTTTCACATTTATTTATTTAGAGGGAAGTCACGTGCCATGATGGTTGTAGCAATGGAGGTTAGAGGACACCTTGCAGGAGAGCGGGCTCTCTCCTCCCACCAGGTGGCAGGCGCCATCCTTCCCATCCCTTCCAGTCCTCCTCCTGGGCTGAAAAGGATGGTGGCCACCACCTGCAGCCTGGGCTGGTTGTTTCTAACTTTCTCTGTGGGTCACATACTCTGAGACTCAGTTTTCTATGTGTAAAATGGGAGGTATCTTGGGCTCAGGGATTCTGATTGGCCGGTTGACATAAAAGGGGCGTAATCCCCTGCCAAGTACCTCAGGTGCTGAGGAGACACTGGGTTTCTTTGGGGGCAGCTTAAAAGGTGGCTCACCTTGGCCCCTTTCCTGGGACCTTGGCACAAACACCTCAGGAGTGGCACTGGGCATCCATGGGCGGTACACTCCTAGTTCCAAGCCTGAGGACTAGTTCTGGGGACCATGGCAGGTGTCCAGTGTGGAGAGTGAGCTCTGCGGGGGAGGTCCCAGCAGGCAACAGGCTGGAGTGTGGAAGAGGTCCCTTGTCTCTCTTTGTCAGGCCAGGCTCCAAGCTCCCTACGCAGGCATCAGGCAAGAGTGGGTTGTCTTTGTCCCAGTTGGCCGCCAAGGCTGCTGAACTTGGCCCAAGTGCTCCTTGAAGTGACTGGCCCTTTGAGGCCACCTCAGGCCAAGCTGACTGCAGAGATGGGACCTGAAGAGTCCCTTCAGGAAGGTCTATCCTGAAGTTGAGGATTTCCATCTGAAAGCCAGCTAAAGGGGAGCAGATTGTGCCCAGACCTGGCACCCAGAGCCAGTGAGCCATCCTGGCTGTCCTGCAGTCTCCCCTCCCAGTTCCTGGGAGAGCTGGGATTTGAACAGGGACAGTGACGTAGCTGGCAAAGTAACTGTTCCTTTACCTAGTGCTCAGTCGGTCTCACCGGAAATCAAGACCTGTCCTCTCACCTGAAATACTTTAAATGAGTCTCCTCCCACTTGTGCCCCTAACCCCTGCTGGGTTGTTGGTATTTGTTGAGATAGCCTCACTATGTAGCCCAGGCTTGCCAGAACAGTGCTGGGACTACATTTTACCATCCCACCCAGGTAGAGTAAGTCTTTTCAAGGGGTGGGGTTCGAACTACCACGCCATTACCATTCCTTAATTTTTTCTAAAATTTAAGCATATTCCCTAATATCACAAAAATTAAAACATCCCCCAATTGCTCATAAACGTAGTTTATGATCCAGTGAGTTTGGATCTGAATCATTAGATTGTCACACCTAAATTTCTTAGAATCTAGACATTACCCGTCTTTGCTTTTCTTGTCATTTCTGTTATTGTTGTTGAGGTAGAAACTGAGCACCCCTTCTGTAGTTTCCAAGTCCAGATTTTGCTAACTGTCCCCATGTGTCAATTCATGTGTTCCTCTGGCCCCCCTATTTCTGGTAAACTAGTTATTAAATCCACAGAACCAGAGTCCAGTTTGACTTCTTTTTGGCAAAATAATGTCTGCTTGGGGCTCACAGTCTAAAAGACGTGTCTGTGCAACTCAAGCAGGAGGTGCAGCCGTCCGTGTTGGATACACTTATTGTGTGCTGACTGCATCATTGGGTACACTCATTATAACGCTTCTATCGGGTTAGATGACAGCATGAAACTCTTGGGGAAGCTCAGCCTGACTGAGCAGAGGGCAAGTTTGCACTTTGCAAAAAGTCATTGTGGAAGCTGAAGGCTGGGCTGAGAGGATAGACGAACTTGGGACTGCAGACTTATTCCCTTTCTGGCTTTCTGGGTAAGGGAGACTATAAGGACAGAAAGCAGACCTGAACCTGGAAAAAGGGAGAAGAGGTTGGAGGAAGGCACAGGGGCTTGTGGGAAGTGAGACCATTATCTCTGCCATGGTGTTTTTCTGTTTGTCAGGCCTGTCCATCAACTAGTCCAAGACTTATTGTTGATTCATCTTGTTTTTGTTTGTGGAGAGAAGGGGTCTCCTGTAGCCCAGGCTAGCTCCGAAATGTTCTTCCTGCCTCTACTACCTAAGTGCTGAGATTCCAGGCATGTACCACCATATCTGGCTCATCTCGGGTTCCCAGGCTCTGTTAGATATAAGTGCTGTCAGAGAAGCCCAGCCTTGGAGCTGAAGAGACAGCTCATTCGTTAAAGGCATGGACTGCTCTTGCAGAGGACCCGACTCTGGTTCCCAGAATCCATAGCAGACAGCTCCTGGCTACCTATAGCTACAGTTCCAAGGGACCCAATGCCCCCTTCTGGCTTCCTTGAGCTATTGCACTCATATGCACATACTCACCTACTCACATAGATATAATGCATTATTTAAAATAAGTTTTTTTTAAAGGAATGAGGTCGGATGGTGGTGGCGCATGCCTTTATTCCCAGCACTCTGGAGACAGAGGCAGGTGGATCTCTGTGAGTTTGAAGCCAGCCTGGTCTACACAAGTGCCAGAATAGGCTCCAAAGCTATACAGAGAAACCCTGTCTTGAAAAACCAAAATAATAAAAAAGAATGGAAAAAAAGCACAGTCCCTCGTTACCGATTGTTCACTCATCCATTTAACTAGCACTGACTGACTGTGCCAGAGTCCTTGCTAGGATACAGAAGCTCCCAGGCAACTAACACCAATTTTGTGCTCAAGGCATATTCTGGTTGACCAACACCTTCACCTCTGAGGGTTCTCTTGTTCTCTTCTTGCCAGGCAGAACTCATGGATGTATCAAAAAATAATCTTTATTGTCACTAGTATAAAACAGAGCAGATCAACTGGCCTCTTCGTCTGTACAGAGTGTGGGGCATGAGGCCACCTGGGCTGCCCCTACTGCTGTCATAATGCCCCGAGCAGGAACAGTGCCTCAGGAGCTTCTGAGGAGAGGGCCACAAATGCCCGCCTTGGGGACAGGAGTCAGGGGTGAACGGGGCTGGGGGACCGTGTGTTGCCTGAGGGAGGTAAAGCAACAGGAGAAAAGAGGGATGGGGTGTGGGGGAGCTCTCAACTGGTCGCCATCCCGTCCACCTGCACCAAGTCCACTGAACGGAGGGTGGGCAGCCGATGGGCGGTAATGGCTCCCGTGGCCTCAGAGGGCCACACGGCCACAGCAGTGGCGCAACACACAGGGCAGGATGCCTCGGTTCAGCTGGTGGAATTCCACGAGCTGCAGCAGGTCTGTGAAACGGGTCTGGCCGTCGTCCATGCTAAAGTACAGGCAGCCCTCATCTTCGCTCTGTGGTATGGCCAGAGGGCAGGTCAGGGGGCGGCCCTGGGTGGAGGAGCGGCCCCCGTTTCTTGCACGAGGAAAGAGGAGGCGCATAGTAGGACTTCAAGTCATGTTTCCCCTGGCTACAAGAACCCAAACTATAAAGAGGGGGTCACTCACAGGTAGAATGAGGTAATGCTTGACTTTCTGCAGGTGACACAGAGACAAAACAAAACCCTGTGGGTTGCGCTGGCTCTCCCGGACCAGGAACACACTTTGGGGAGACAAAACCGCATTACCAGGGATTCCTGGTTGCACCTGCCCTGGGGTCTCCATGGTCCCCAGGTCTGTTGCCCCACCCAGCCCAGCCTCTTACCCATCCACCAGACCCTGCTGTCCAATTAGCCGCTGGCTCTCCTCCCGGGAAATGCGTCCGTGGAACCAGGGCTGGGTACGGTGGATAGCTGGGGTCAGGAGAAAAGAGAAGCTGGTCATTCAGGGAAGACATGCCTGACCCAAGCCAAGACTGCTCAGAGCAGCAGCACCGCCCACCCTGGGAACTCTAGACCGTCACCCACCTGCGCTGAGACTCGAGCCGGAGCACGGGGTGGGCAGGCTGAGACGGTGGTTTGTCTTCTTCTGCATTGGGGCATGAGAGTCAGAGCCATTGGCATCTACCCTCTCCCCAACCCCTCTCCCTCCCTCTCCCTCCACGAAAGCCAGTGCAGCGAACACACAGATGTACGCAGGCCTTACCCTCCAGGCCTGGGCCTCCTCCATGGCGGCACTCAGAGCTTCCCGGGGGTTCTCAATGACACGGCCAGCATGGCCAGAGAAGTCCATGGCCACTAGGGTATTATCTGAAACACTCCTCTGTGACGAGGACAGGAGGAGGAGGGTCAGAATAGCTATCCTGAGCCTGTATCCCCACCTCTCCTAATATCCCTGAGTATACTCACCAAGGGCGAAGACCCCAAATAGGATAGGCGCAGGTGACGAGACTGAGTCTGTTGATAGTTCTTATATAACTGTACCCCATACTGGAGACAGGGGAAGGAAAAAGGGGTGAAGTCGAGAGAGCCTAGGAGATAGGCTGTGACACCCTTCAGGCCAGTACTTCCCCAGAGTGGGGCTGAACCTGCCCTTCCTGACCGGTATTCTCAGAAGCCCGGCTGTGGTGAGCTCTTACTGGGAAGACTTCCTGAAGGCAGAGCTACGTCACCTCCCTCAGGCAAGATCAGCCCCCCTGCCATTCCAGGGGTCTTACCTTGAAGAGACGGAAGGCAGTCAGCCAGCAGGTCCGGCTCTGCTCATCCTCACTGCAGAAGATGTGGAGCCCCTTGTGGCCATTTCGAAGCTTGTTGGGCTGGGAGAGAGGAAGTGGGCTGTCCCCTGTCTGATTCTGTGCCCAGCTGCCCAAGGACTATCCAGATGTGCAGGTATAGGGAGAGTAGGCTGGGTTTCTCAAGACGGGGTTCAAAAGCCACAGGTAGAACTCTAGAATTTGGGCAGCTCTCGCCCTGCCCCCGACCAGGCCATGCTTGGGTCCTCACCTTGACACAGAAGCCGAAGTCCGTGGGCATCCCATAGAGCTTGCGGCCCTGGGTCACCACATACGCATTGGACTCATTCACGTCTGCCACGTACTGTAGGTGCCTCGGGTCCTGGGCATGTGAGAAAGTAGGGCTTGTTACAGGTAGGTCCTATCTCCACATTAGTGTCCCACCAGGTAAAGAGATTTTAGGACCAGGGAGAGGCAGGGAAATGCCCATGTTCACACTGCAGACAGAGGAGACGGCTCAGTTGGTAAAATGCTTACTGTGCAAGCAGGAGCACCTGAGCTTAATCCCCAGCACCCACCTAAAGAGCTGGATGTGATGCTTACACTTCTAATCCCAGTGTGGGGATGCCAATCAGCCTGACCTAATCTGCGAATCCTAGGCCCTAGTAGGGACCCTGTCTTCAAAAACAAGGTAGACAGCTCCTGAAGACCTGAGACCAATAGTGATGGCTGACATTCACACACACACACACACACACAGACATGTAAAGAGAAGCCCTTTCCTTGCCAGCAGCTTTGGTTTATCCCCCGCCAGTCGCCTGGGCTCTGCCGTGCTGTAGTCCCCAAATAACACATAAGACGCTGTATTAATTATGAAGCTGTTGGCCTTGCTTGTTTCTTACTGGCTAGCTCTGACTTAAGTATTTATCCCATAATTGTTAATCTAAGTGTTTCTCTTACCAGATACCTTTTGGGGCTTCTTATCCCTATGGTAGTTACATCTTGACTTCCTGTCTTTCTCCTACCCAGATTCCTCCTGGACTCCTAGTCCCACCTATCTTGCTTCCTTATTGGCCAACAGTGCTTTATTGACATATACACAAGACTTCCCCCATCACAGACACACACACACATAGACACAGACACACACAGACACACACACACATAGACACAGACAGACAGACACACACAGACACAGACACAGACACACACAGACACAGACACACACACACACACACACACACACACACACACACACACACACACGCAGAGGCGCCTGTGTTTTCTACTGCCATTCCTAGAGTAGGTGATCCAAACGGGTTGGGATGGATAGATTCTGGCATGGCCTGAAGCCAGTCAGCCCAAGGGGAGGGAGGAGCAGCTGAGGGTCCCCTGGCCCAAGAGTGGAAGGGTCGAGGAGCCCCAGTGCGGAAGAAGTACACGACAGGCTAGAGTTGACCTCAAGACCTCACCTTAGAGGTGCCCTTGGTGGAGTAGTAGAGGCCAGACCGGCGCAGAAAGCAGAAAAACTGTTTCCAAAGCTTTCGGCCTGAGCTCCGGCCAGAGCCCCGAAGCTGCAGGAAGCCCTGGATCTCAGGGAAGCTGCCGGCATTCAGGAAGTTCTGGGGACAGATGTGAATAGAGGGTGAAAGGCTTGCCTCCTCTCAGGCAAGCCTTGCAGCAGCACTGAGTATCACCATTTCACCAGCAAGGTCACCATGGTGGAGGCAGACACCAGCAAACACAGATCAGATCACTCATAGCAGCAGGAGGTAGGAACACTGGATGACTCGGGGTAGCGGGGGTGGGGGGCTGTGGGTCTATGGTGAAGCAGACCTCACCTGGATGAGGTCTTCATGGGACGTGCCTGTTTGTGCATCCAGACAGCTGGAGACCATCTTTTCTGGGAACAGCATATGCTAGGAAGAAAGAAATCAGGGGTCAACGCTCAAGAATCTAGGCTAGGGATCCAGAGTATGTGTGTGTGTGTGTGTGTGTGTGTGTGTACACCCAGGTTCTCACTCACCGGGGGACTCTTGAACAGTTCATACTTGGCAAAGTTTTTGCGGAAGACAAAGCGACTGTCTCCACCAACAGGCCAGGCCTCCTGCACTTCCGCCACCAACTCATGGTCCTCCACACAGCGCTCTGAGACCAAGCATCGGTAGAGATTAACCAAGCCTCACAGATGAGCCATCTATTTTGCCCAAGACATCACCCCACGGCTCCTTGTGCCCCAACTCACCCAGTGCTAAATAAGGGTGGCACTCGACCAGGCCCCAGCTCTCATCGCCCAGGGCGTGGGCTCGCTGCACCAGCATTTCACACACATGTCGAGCTGTGGCGCCTGCTGCCACCTCCACAGACCGGCAGGCCCCGTCCTCACTGAACACCTTCACCACCTGTGCCCCAGGAACTGCAGGTTACTTGGGGCAAGGCAGAGGCGGGGATTTTACTCTCTGATTTGTCTTCCGGGACCAAGAGGTCCCACCACATCCACCCAGGGCTGGGGCAGCTCTGTCCCCACTGCCACCTTTCCCAAAACAACTCACGTGGAGGCGGCTGGAATCTCGAGGAAGCAACCCCCTGGCACTGGAAGAACCTCCAAGAATGGGTTTCTGCGAAGGCGGGCTGCAGAGCTCAGGGAATGGGTTGGGGATGGAGGGTAGGGAGGTCACCTGAAGCTCCTCTTCTCGAAGTTTCCTATGTCAGAGTTGAGGGATGGAGCCCCTATGTGTTAGTCAGTGCTGGCTTGCCTCCCTGTCCCCAGACCTCCCTGCCAAGGCAGCCCCACTGCCCCATCCTACCTGCCGCTTGGAATGGGCAGAGGCTGTGACCGCTTCACATCCCCCGCTGGAGGGTTGTCAGGGGGTGGAGGAGTCTCAGGAGGGGTACCAGGAGCTGGGCACACATCTTCTGGGGAGCTGCTGAGATGATGTAGACTCAGATCCAGTTCCATGGCACCTGTGAAGACAATGTTGATGCCGTGTGCTGTCACTGTTCCCTTCAAACTGCAGCTTCCTCGGAGCCCCCAGAGAGGATACAGGACACGCCCACTTTATCTAAAGGCACTCTGGGATCCTGAGAAGGAAGCACGCATGCGCCCAGTGTTTGGGACTCCAATGCCAGTGCTCTCCCTGCAGCAACACCAGCTCAAGGGAAGGAACAGGTAGGCTCCATGCCACGTGTCCCTAGCTGCAGGCACAGGGTCGGGGCAAAGGTTGCTCATGCCACTGGGCTCTGTCCCGGCTTTTCCCAGCACTTTGTTATCCTAGCACCTCGTTGCCAGATACAGTTTGCCAGGCCCGTTGTGGTAACACCTGGCGGACAGACAAGTGATAGAGAGAGTCGATGAGGGACGGGAATCAGGAGGGCAGGACGGTGTGCTTAGGTTGTGGTGGGAACAGAGGCCTTGCCGGGGGGGGCTCTTACCCCAGCAACTGCAAATGCTGTGGGCCTTTCCCGACCCCTCCTCCTGCTCAGCTTTCCCCCAAAGCCTCAATGATAAAACCACCTCCTATGGACGAGAGGTCTCTCGGATTGTCACACTCAGCCTTGTGCTGGGAGCTCTACCCCATGACAGCGCACCTGTCTTAGCCCATCTCTGGTCTGAAAGCACCTGGCACACATCAGAGTCTCACCCATGCCTTAGCACCCACAGGTGCAGAAAGTTAGGACGAGTAAGGACAGGCGAGACCAGGCAAGCGGCGGGGGTCAGGTTCTCTGCAGGAACCAGCAGACCCCATGGTGCTGAACCTGGCAGGTCCCAGAGAAAACGCCTATCCCAGTATCCTGCCTGTTCTCCAGACCCTGCATCGGGACTATGAGACTGCCCAGGAGACCTGAGCAGGTTCCTGGCACCAGGATAGGACAAACTCTTGACCCTTCTGTGAAGGCAATTAGGGATCTGGGGGACAGGTGAGTCAGGGCGGGGCGGGACAGCTATGCCCCAGGCTCTCCATTCAACTTTGACTCATCTATAGGACTTCCTGGCTGAGGAAGCACACAAACAACCTGCCTCTGCCCTCAGTCCCTGACTCCCTAACCTACAGGGGTGCGGGCTGGGGAAAGACGAAGATGTGGGGAGGAGCAGCCCGAGGCTCCTCTGACATCATCCTCCCCACCCTTGGCCAGTGTCCAGCCCAGGTGGGACTAATCATCTGCCCACCTTAGTCCAGAACCATCACCCTGCCTATAATGCCGGGAGGTGGGAGGAAATGCCCGGCCTGGATCCAGGAGCCTATCAGGATTGGAGCCTACCTCCCGGTTATTCCCAAGCAGCATCCAGCCCTGCCTAGCCTGAGTCTGGAACCTACAACTCTCACATCCGGCCTTGGGGACTCCTGTTATTGCTCTGTGGAGGAGGGTCTCTGAACACACTCTGGGATGTCCTGTGACCTGAGGGGTACCATCAGGCAGGAGTGGAGTTAAGACACCCACGAGGACAGGCAGACAGACTGACAACACAACCCCAGGAGAGCCAAGCAGAGTAAGCAAGACACACCTGACACTTAGCATGCCCAAGTCACCAAGCAAGGGGCATCAACTCCCACACACCTGACCTTTCATTTCAGGGAGGAGGAGTCTTCCTCTGCTGAGGTGCCCCCCCTCAAAGTAAGAAAGCAATCCCCCACTGGACTGGAAAGGGGGAGGGTAGCTTCAAATCAGATTACACTCTGATGTCAGAGTCCCAGGTGCCGGCTGTACTAGGGTTAGCTTCCAGATCCCTCCACCCCACCCTTCAGCAGGAGATGATTAGGAGCAGTCAGATACCTAAAAGATAAGGCGGGGCAGGGAGCCTGCTACAGCCCGGCCCGGCAGCCCCTGCCCAAGATATCTGAAACAGTCAACTAGGGCCTAAGCATAGCTTCCAGTGCAGAAACTGGGCCCCCAACCAACTAGTCCTCTCAACCAGGACACTCAACTCTGGCTATCCAGGCCCAGCAGTTTTGGCCCCACCCTCTCTCCTACCCTCCCAGCTGCCTTGTTTACTTCCTGAATCTTGCCCCACCTAGCAAACCCCAAGGCGAGTGGCAAGGCCTAAATGTTTGGGGCCAACAGCAAACAAGGCCACCATGCACTCTTCTCAGGGCTAGGGGAGGGGTTGGTGCCAGTGGCCCTGGCCGTCTGAGGGCTGCTTCTGGTCCAGTACACCAATCCAAACCCATCAGGACATGGGAAGGGAAGACGGTGCTTAACCTTTAGGGGTGCCTGGACCAGATGAGGAGGCAGGAAACCCTTAGTTGACCCGAAGGTGATGCTCCGCCCACTCCGCTCAGGAAAAAAAAACATCCAATGGAATAGAGGGGGGCGGGACAACTCTTGTAATGTTTAATTTGGGAAGAATGCTAGAGTTCCCAGTAGAGTTCCCTGTAGAGTTAATCATTATTTTGCTTTTGGGGAGGTGTACAACACACACACACACACACACACACACACACACACACACACGAGGGAGAGCAGAGTCCAAGCTAGCACAGACTCACAATCCAGAAGGCATCACATTCTTGGGGGGGCAAGGGCAAAAAAGACTGAAAATATTACCATCTGGCCCTCAGGTGCACTCTGTCCTATCCTATCATGAAGAACCAGACCCGGACCTAGGACTTCCCCAGCTTCAGCCTCAAGGCAGGCCCACGTGAGCCGGCACACACTCTCTTCCTGCCCCTGCACAGCAGCCCCTGTTCACAGCAGCCCTGCTCGCAGCACCCGCACCTCCAGTTTTCTTTGTCCATCGCATGTGCATGCTGGAGGCATCCTCAGCCCGGCCGGGCTTCCACATCCGAGCTGGGACAACGAACGACATGGAGAGATGGAGTTCCAACCATTGTGGACCTTCACTCCCCTCCAAATGGGAACCCCCGATTGTAGGAAACTGAGCTCAGCAAGGTAGTGGAGGGCCACCTCCGGACCCCTGCCACCCCAACTAGCTGGTCGTGAGTAGAAAGAACTAGTTTTAGCCGGAAAGTCCAGGTCTCCGGAGGTGACTGAGAGACTCACTGGGAGAGAAGGAGGGAGCGTGAGGGGCACAGAATGAAACACACGGGAAGTCTGGGGGTGCAAGGCGAGGAAGGGGAAGGATTCGAGATGCCGAGCAACAAACAAACAAACAAAACAATGCAACGAAGACGCAGAGAGCTTCGGGAGGATGAATCTTTCCCTAGGCACCCAGACCGAACTTGCATCCCACCCCCAAGATGAAGTTCCCGCTTCGTTCCTTACCCAGACCTTGGACGTCGGCACACCTGCCTGAGGCCACCGGTTTAGGGAGAAAGACTCGAGGCCTTAACTACCACCGCCCCCCACCCCGCCTGTGGCCTGACCTCAGCGAGCGAGGACTACGGGGTGGGGGAGCGCCGACTGGCAGCCTCCAGGCCATCTACCTGGGCAGCGGGCCAGACCCGCCCGAGGCAGGCACAACCTGAGGCCCTGGTGAAGCTGGGGGTAGAAGCAGATTGTCTTGAGACAGATCTCGGTCGCCTTACCTGGAAGAACTCCAGCAGAAGGAGCGGGACACCGGGCCCAAAGTCAGGTTCTATCTAGAGATCCCAAACACTTGGATTTGGTTTCAAATACACTCTCTATGCTCTACAGGTGGTAGGAGGGTATCACGCCTTTGGATGTTGAGGCGGGAGAATGTGGAGAGAACCCTGTGTATCCAGAGTCCAGGCTGAGAGAAACTAAAATTATCTTGGGCAGGTGAGGGCGGGGCCTGAGAGGCGCCCTGGAGAAGGAAGCGCTGGAGGAGGGGCGGAGACTCCGCACAATGCACCGCCTGGGATAGCTCTTGCCCTTCCTACCGGGCAGCAGGTGCCAGGGAGAGAGCAGGTGCCTGAGGAGAGGCTGGGAAGAGTAAAAAAGCACAGGCTGGAAAGAGAAAAATCTAGTGTGGAGGCTGTTTGTTAGATAAGAAATGGCCCCGCCCACTCCTACTTGTCCCTGCCCAATGATGGTCAGTTCATTGGTCAAGCTAAGGGGCGGTCTTCAGCTCGCCCCCATCCCCCACCCACGGCCTGGACAAAGGGCACTCTGCTTTTAAGAGGGATGCCTGAAGAGATGCTCTGCCCTTTGACCTCTGTTGTCCTGGCCCCTCTGAGATACCCAAGGTACCCTTCCGAGCCAAGCCCAGGGTCTCACCTTCCCGGTTTTAAAACGAAGAGTGGCAAGGTGGCCTAGTGGGAGGGCCACGGTGATATGGCCACAGTTTTGGCCCTGTTACAGCAGTAACTTCAACTTTCTGGTTCAGCCCTCAGCAAACATGGGGATCGGGAAGAGGGGGTGAGAGACCCGGATCAAAGTCAACGGGGGGGGGCGCCTCCCAGCTCCCTATGGATGACAGTTAAGAAAAGCAAACAAGCCACCGGTTGATAAGGGGTCTGCCATGAGGAAGCAAGGCCTCAACTTTGCGCTTGAAAAGCTGGTGTGAAATGTGAAAAGCCGCTGTGGAGGTGCACTTTAATCCCAGAGGCAGGTGGATCTCTGTGAGTTCTATGCCAACCTGATCTACTTTGCAAGTTTCAGGACAGGGAGGACTACACTGAGACACATTGTCTCAAAGAAGGAAGGAAGAAAGGAAGGAAGGAAGGAAGGAAGGAAGGAAGGAAGGAAGGAAGGAAGGAAGGAAGGAAGGAAGGGACGAAAAAAGAAAGACTAGTATGAATGAGGCAAAGCAAAGAAGGGGCAAAGTTACTTGGACCAGGAAGCAGTTTGAACAAAAAAAAAAAAAAACCCACAAACACAAAAGACAATTTACTCATATCCAACCATGGAAGCACCTAGCGGATCCGGGTTTGGGGATACAGAGCAAAGCAACAAAAACAGACCCGCCCTTAGCCTGCTGCAACCCAGTCAGGGAGACTGACCTTTAAGAGTCAATACAAATACGAAGTGACAAGTATGCCAGGCGAGTGACTCACAGGAGGCAGGGAAGGCCTTTCTGTGGAAGTGAGAAGCAGGCAGGGGAGGTGCTGCCGCCAGCGAGTGGGAACCAGAGGGGTTAACCATCCATGGTGTCGCACAAACATGGAAGAGCTGCTAGGCGGGAGCACAGGACGCAGAGCTGAGGGAGTGGGGGTGGACAGGAAAAGCGGCCATGCAGGTGAGCCTGGGCAGGTTGTACAGGTTGGGAGGGGTGGAGAAAAGCCTCGCCGTTCTTAAAAGGCAGGAACACAGCCTCCAACACTCTTAGCTGCTATGGAAAACAGGTCCTTGGGCCCCTCCTCTGCCAAGGAGTCTTCATCTCTGAGACAGAGCCCCAGGAATGTGTGGAATTGACCAGCCCTCGGGTGGCTATTTTGCAAACCAGGTTTGAGAGCCATCCATCCTGTTTGTCCAGACTGGCAGGAGTGGTGGGCAGAAGTCAGACCCTACAGGTTGTATCTGGGCCCAAGGGGAGACACAGAGCAGCAGGGCAGGGCTGTGCTTTGCAAGATCCATGTAGGTCCCTGAGGATGTTGAAGGCTGGGCTGGAGGGAGGTCAGACTTGGAGAGCTGAGTGAAGATTCCATTTCTTCCTTTAATAAAGACTTGTTTTTATTTATGTGTACATGTCTCTGTGTGTGGTACATGTGTGTGTGTTCCTGCAGATCTCCTACCGCTGGAATTACAGTTTGGTCTTTTGGAAGAGCATCAAGTGCTCTTAGCCCCTGAGCCATCTCTCTCTGGCCCCAGGATTCCATTTAGAGGAAGTAGGGCTGGAAGGGCACGGAGCAGATCTGAGGCCTCAGGGAGGAGACAAGAGAGGTTACCCGTGGGGACAGAGGCTTGTAGGAGCTTGGAAGCCATTCTGTCTGGACCTCTCAAGGCTATGCATGTGTCAGGACTCACTGAGAGGTCCCTACATAACTATAGTATGTTGTTAGCGTGGGGAAAACCGGGGCTGCATATCACACCGTGTGTGTGTGTGTGTGTGTGTGTGTGTGTGTGTGTAGAGGTCAATGAGGATTGGTTCTCTCTTTCCAGCAGGTGGGTTCCAGGGCCCAAAACTTAGATCATCAGGCTTAGCAGTAAGTGCCTTTAACTGCTGAGCCATCTTGCTCATAGAAGATGACCTTTAAGGCCAGGCGTTGGTGGCGCACGCCTTTAATCCCAGCACTCAGGAGACAGAGACAGGCGGATCTCTGTGAGTTCGAGACCAGCCTGGTCTACAGAGCTAGTTCCAGGACAGCCTCCAAAGCAATGCAGAAAAACCCTGTTTCAAAAAACCAAAAAAAAAAAAAAAAACCCCAAAACAAAACAAAAAAAGATGATCTTTAAATATGCATAAGTTAATTTGAATTTAGGATAAACGTCACCACAAGATAAATGTATAATCTGGGTACTCAGGAAGATTAAGAGTTCAAAGCCAGACTGAGTATTTCCAACTACACAAAACTGAAATGAAAGACACAGGAGAAGGAACCGATTTCCTGCTGTCACTTGGCTTATGATGCTGGCTTATTTGCATCGGAACAAAACAAAACCTAGTTTGCTTGGCTTTTGTTTTTGTTGTTGTTGTTGATTGCTTTGGGGATTTTTAAAGATTTAATTTTTTTGTGTGTATGTGTTTGTCTTTAAGTGTACCACACTGTTGACTGGTGCCATAGAGGCCACAGGAGGGCCTCAGATCCCCTGGGACTGGAGTTAGAGATAGTTATGAAGCACTCACATGTGGGTGCTGGGAACTGAACCCGGCTCCTCTGCCATAGCAACAGGTGCTCTCCATTTCTCCAGTCCATTTTCGGTTTTCAGAAACGTCATCTTGGGGTCTTGATATGTAACCTTGGCTAGCCCCAAACTCCCTATTTAGCTAAAGTTAGTCTTGAACTTGTGGCCACCCTCCTGCCTCTGCTGGGGTTCTAGACCTATACCATCATAAATACCTTGATTTGAAGAAGCCTGGGAGAGGGCTCAGCAGGTAACGATGCTTGTTGCAAGCCTCATGACCTGAGTTCAGTTCTCAGGAACCACATGGTTAGGAGAGGATTCCCACAAGTTGCCCTCTGATCTCCACATGGGCACTGTGGTATTAGTATGTCCACACCCACACATACATACACACCCATAATGAATACTTTTATAATTTAAAAAGATACCTTGATTGGAAAATGCAGTTCATATGTAAACTACCAAATCTCAAAGTCTAGTTTCTATTGCATCTATATCAAGCAAATCACTGTAAAGTTAAAAATTCAAGGAACCATCTGATTGATCAATGGAAAGCATTGAGAATCCAAATATAAACCTTTGTGTTTCTATATCAGTGGCTTTTTTTTCCCTTTTGGTTTGTTTGTTTGTTTGGTTGATTGTTTTTTTTTTCAAAACAGAGTCTCTATGTAACAGTCCTGGCTGTCCTGGAACTCACTCTGTAGACCAGGCTGGTCTTGAACTCACAGAGATACACCTGTCTCAGCTTCCTGAATGCTAGAATTGAAGGAGTGTACCACTATGTCTGGAGACAGTAGTTTTTTGATAAAGTTGCAGAGCCCATTTAATGGACAGATAGGATCTTTTGAGACAGCGTTTTCCTATGTTGCCCAGAATGTTCTCCCAAGTAGCTAAAGCTACAGGCATGTGCCACAATACCTGGTAGAGAAGGGTATTTAACTGAATGTCACTGTGACAATTTAATGCTTAGATACCAAAAGTTTAATTTAGCTCTGTACTTCCCAGGATGCACAAAACTGATTCTAAATAGATCCTAAAGGGCTGTAGGGATGGCTCAGGGGTCAAGAGCACTTGCTGCTCTTCAGAGGACCTGAGTTCAATTCCCATCATGGACCATCCAAAGGCTCACAACTGCCTGTAAGTCCAACTCCAGGGGATCTCCACAGGTGCCTGCATACACATGCCCACATACAGATGGAAATACATACATAAATAAAGAATAATCATTAAAAAATAAATCGTAGACAGCCACGGTGGCATATACTTTTAATTCCAGCACTCAGGATGCAGAAGCAAGTGGATCTTTATGAGTTCAAGGCTAGCCTGGCCTGCACAGTGTGTTCCAGGACAGTCAGGCTATGTAGAAAGACCCTGTTTCAAAACCAAACAGAATATTATATACATAATAAATAAATAAAAATAAAAAAAAACCTATCTGGACGATGGTGACATGCCCTTAGTCCCAGCACTCGGGAGGCAGAGGCAAGTGGATCTCTGCAAGTTCAAGACCAGCCTAGTCTACATAATGAATTTCAATACAACCAAGGCTACACAGAGAAACCTGTCTCAAAAAAAAATAAAATAGGGGGGCTGGAGATATGGTTCAGAGGTTAAGAGCACTGAGTGCTCTTCCAGAGGTCCTGAGTTCAATTCCCAGCAACCACATGGTGGCTCACAACTATCTATAATGAGATATGGTGTCCTCTTCTGGTATGCAGGCAGAACATTGTATACATAATAAATAAATAAATCTTTAAAAAAATAAAATAAAGCTATCAACAACAAAAAAATGAAAACCAAAAATTAAATAAATAACAATGAAGGAAAATCTGTAGCCTTGGGTTAGGCAAAGGATTTTATTTATTTGTTTGTTTGCTCTGGAATTTACTCTACAGACCAGGCTGGCCTTGAACTCAGAGAACCACCTGCCTCTGCCTCCCAAGTGCTAGGATTAAAGTCGAGTACCACCACTGGGCATGCGAAGGATTTATTTATTTTTTTTTTTATTTTGGTTTTTTTGAGGTAGGGTTTCTCTGTATTGTTTTGGAACCTGTCCTGGAACTCGCTCTGTAGACCAGGCTGGTCTCAAACTCACAGAGATCCACCTGCCTCTGCCTCCCGAGTGCTGGGACTAAGGGCGTGCGCCACCAACACCCAGCTGCAAATGATTTTTTAAAGAAAAAAATTTTAATTGAATGTAGTCATTTAGCGTAAGTGTGTTGCATAAAAACAAGAAAAAATACTTGTAAATTATCTATTTCATTATAGATATAGTATGCGGAATACATAAAGACCTTTTTTGTGTTAGGTTTTGTTTTCTTCAAGACAGGGTTTCTCTATGTAACAGAGTTGGCTGTCCTGGAACTCATTTTGTAAACCAGGCTGGCCTCAAACTCACAGAGATCCATCTACCTCTGCCTCCTGAGTGCTGGGATTAAAAACATGCACCACTACCCCCTACTCCCCCCTGCAGCCCAATAATTCTACTCCTAGGAATCCACCAAAGAGAAACGGTGGCACACATCTACAAAATGACATCTACATTTATAGAAGCATTATTCAAAACAGACAAAACCCAAAGTAACAATAGTAACTGCTCTATCTACACAATGGAATGAAATCATCAATAAAAAGGAACTCCTGGTACACACCATGTACAGTATGAGAGAAACCAGGGCAAGAGCCACATGATGTACAACTCCATTTATGTGAAATATCCAGAAAAGACGATAACGAGAGGATCAGGGGTTGTTCAGGACAGAGCTGGGAGCTGGATGGACAGCAAGCAAAAAGGAAAGACGGTATTAGATTGGTGGAAACGTTCTGTAACTGCATGGGGTGACGACAGAACCCAGCAAACAAAAGTTGAGCAAACAAGTTTAAAGAGACTCCAGAATGGGAGGCGTGTTAAGGATACTGTGATACTGACGTGTTAAGGATACTGTGGTACTGGCATGGTGCTTCAGGGAAGGAAGGCAAGGAAGACTCAGGCGGCCTCCACTTCCAGAATTACAAACTGGGTACCATGATAGTAGCCTTCTAGAGAGAGGCTAGGATGAGATGGGTATGCAAAAAGTGGGTGTCCGTGAGGAAGCAAAGTCTGAGGACACAGGTACATCCTCTCTGTTAGTGCAGGAAAGTCACAAAGGTTAGGAAACCTTGGCACTTTAGAGTCAAAAGAACTAGATAGAGTGTTGGGCTGATATGTGGCTTCACCTGTAAAGACGTTTGCGACAGAGCCTGACAATCCCTGGGACCCACAGGATGGACAGAGAACGACTTCTGAAAGCTGTGCTTTGACCTTCACTAGTAAATTAATAAAGAAATGTAATAAAAGTTTTAAAGGATGCCCTCACATGCACAAATCCACACTCACACACACACATACTTAAAATAGCTTTGAAAGATTAAAAAAAAAAAAGGCCCAGCATGTAACTATGGGGTGGTTTCAAATGTCATCGTCATGCTAGCGAGAAAGACCAACAATGACAGACCATCAGCTACTTCAGCTTCCTCCTCAGATGCTTGTCCCATTTTCTGTCTTTTGTAAATGGGAAAGAACCTTGCAATCAGAAGCAGTCCGTTATTTAAGCAAATCCATGACGTCCAATAAGCAATGGATGCGGAAAAAATATAGT